TCTGTGAAATTGTGAGTGGATTAAATGAGTGGATTAATGCATTAATTTTGTGAAATTGTTAAGGATATCGATATATGAAATTCATGCACGAGCTGAAAGAAGTGTAAGGATTGTCCAGAGGATAAAGTACACAAGAAATTAGGAGCAAAAATGAAGGAAAAAGAAAAGAAGCGAAAAAACTGGAAATTTAATGGCACGGATCCGAGCTCGGATTCGTGAGAGCAAAGAGAGATCCGATCCCTCGTTTGTACTTCTGGAGGAGTGTATCTGAGGTCAGAAGATCCGACCCCGGATCCATCATGGGAAGTCCCCGAATCCTAAAGATCCGAGCTCGGATATTTAGGATCAACCCTCGGATCTGAGACTTGGATCTGTCTCTCTCTTCAACAAGTGGCACAGCCGTTTTCCTTTACCTTTCTCACAATTTTTTCAGCTATTTTGAGGGACAAAAATCGGTGGCACATGCTTCTGCAACAAAAAAGAAGACCAAATGAATTGTAGACAAAAGAAAACATCATATCTTTGGTTCAGCTACTGACTACATTAGAGATAGCACTCAGGGTTTGAGGCTTTTAGGATTCAGGGTTTTAGGGTTTTAGAGATCAAGATTTAGTGTTTTAGAAGAATAACACTTTCGGGTTTAGGGTTGTAGGATTTTAGTTTGACAATAGTGTGCCTTGATTAGGACTTTAGATTTTTAATTAAAATAGTAATCCTATCGTGCCGCAAAAATATTTTTTAATGGATTTTAATAACCCAACAACCTTGATTTAATGTTTTAGGGTTTACAAGGATTTGGTTTCTAAGATTTACGATTTAGTGTTTTACGGCTTTAGCACTTAGGGTTTTAGGATTTTTGCATGACAATAAATTTGCCTTGATTATCGCTTTATTTTTTTAATCAAAATAGTAATCCTGCCAATAATTGTAAAAGGTAAAACACGCAAGATTTAATCGCTAGATATTTGATTTAATTTTTTTTCTTTTCCTTTTCAACTACCAAACAAATAACATGCACTTCATAAAAATAACTTATATAATTTTTTTAAATAACACTGCGTTATGAAATTTCTAAAATTACAGTTGAAATTGTAACAGATATTAATGACTATTAACTATTAGATTCTTCTAACTAATATTCATCGGTGTCAACAAATAAATACGATTCATTAATAACAAAGGAAAATTAGAATTTGATAAAAAAAATTTATTTGATAAAAAGGAAAAAAAGTTAGTATTTTATTCATAAAATATAGTCAACACCTTACATGTTAACAATTTCATTCTATTTTTACATTGATATATGAAATAGAAAGAACTATGCATGTGTACTTTTTCCACCATTTAAATGTATTATAATAAAATAACGTATTTCCAATTGTACAATTACCAATTTTTTTTAATATAAAAGAAATATGATTTTTTTTAGAGCACATATTTGATGACTTTAGGCACGTGCAAGTTTTAAAATAAAAAAAATTTATTCCTCTGCTAATTACAGATTTTTAAATAACATTTCTCTAACATTTCTCCGAAATATAAGATTTTAGTAGAGTTTTTAAAATAAGATTTTACTACCGACAGCATTTTAGTAAAGGCAAATTCTACAAAACAAACAACATTTACAGTTAATTTTACATTTTGGTGGGAGCTCGTAAATTTCATTTAAAATTTTTTTTCTAGCAAGTTTGAATTTAATTTTCTGAAAGTCATACTTATAAATGCGAAATCTAACAAAAAAATTAAATACAATTTTTGGAGGTCAAATTTATCAAATGCGAGCTATTTGAAAAATTTTATTTAGGAGCTCGCATTTAGCTCTTACTATTTTCTGGAAGAAATTCTCTAGCTCCCAAAAAAAAAGTAAAAAAATTTAAATTATACTTAGCGGGAGCTCTATTGAACTCGCATTCCGCGAATGCGAGCTCAATAAGTAGATCTCGCATTCCGCGAATACGAGCTCAATAAGTAGAGCTCGCATTCCGCGAATACGAGCTCTATTGCCCTCCGAAAATTTTTTTTTTTAAGGAATGCGAATGCCAATGCGAGATCTTTAAACATTTTGTTTTAATACAAAAAAATCTCTGCCTCCGAAAAAAAAAATAAGCACAAAAATTTTACACAAAAATTTTATTGGGCTCTGCTGAGCTCGCATTTCGCGAATGCGAGCCCCGAATGCGAAGACCCCCCTACGGAATATCTCACCAAAATCGCCCCTTTTGTAGAATTTTTTTAAAATTCATCACAAAATTGGAAATTTCTCTTCATTTATTATTATGAGTTCCTCCTAGAAATGTCAAATGGCATGGAGTTTAATTTTCAGCAGTTTTATCGCAGCTAATTTTGATTGTGTGCGCGTAGATTATTTGATCCAAGGCCTCTCAAGTTGAATTGTAGTTCAGTTCTGCTGGGTTATGTAAGTCTTACAATATTTAGTGTAAAATGGTATAAATTTGGTCTAAGCATAAATTTTGTCACTCGTACGACTGAGTTGGCGTAAAAATCACGATTAAATCAAAACCATATGAGTTTACACTAGAAGTTATAAGAATTAATCAACTGAACCTAACTACATAGAACTCAACTTGAGGGCACCACTTCAGTAGATAATGATAATTTTTTTTACATGACTGATTAAACAAATAAAAAGTGCTACCATTGAGATAAGGAGAATAAAAGGCACCACCAACCTGTTGGATGCTGCACCTTCTCACTATTAGCCTAAACCTCCATTCCCACTGTACTGATATGACAGCTTTCTCCTTGGAGTTTATTTATTGAAAGCTCTTAAAAATATCCAGAAAGCTCTTAACTAAATTAAAACTGATTTATGTTGAATGAGTAGTCGAAATTGAGAACAAAAAAAAAAAAACCCAATTGCAAGAGATGGTGCCCAACCCAGTGAACGACGTCTGGAGGGAAAAGATGAGGAAATTGCGAACTTTTGAAGTAGAAGAAAAATAAGGGGGTAGATCCTGGGGCTAGTTACGGGAGGCAGGGGACAAAAATTAGAACTACTGGCACGAGGAAGATGGGCAGCGGGATGTAGGGAAGGTGGCGATTTGTGGCAATGAATTGAGACGTTTCATAATATCATATTCTCAGGAGCACCGTAGCTAAACTTGTGCTAGGGGGTATGCTGCGTCCATCCAAAATACTAGCCCAGAGTAATCAAGCAGAAAGTCTTGAACTGTGAAAATATTTTTCTATTACGGGTTTCCTCTTGCCCTGGGCCTTTATTAATTTAGTCCGCGTCGTGTAAAACACTGGGAAGTGGTCACCATATCAATTTGACTATCTATATAGTGATGCCAATGGATGCAGAGTAGTACGAGGGTAACCAAAAAGATGCATTTTCGTGTCCAAACTTTGTTGCAAAGACTTAAAAGACTTTTAACCAGCTGCGAGATTGTACAGTACTAAGAGACGATTCAATTCCATATTACAAGGCCAAAGATTCCACTGGAAGACAAAGTCGTGGTCATATCTTTGTGGTCATTCGAACTTTCTGCTACTCCTGGAAACCATCGCATCTTGGAAAAACTGGAGGATTATGTGTGGCCCATAAGACTCAGCAATTTCATCCGAACTTTATGTATTATTTCTTGTTGCCATCGAATTGTGTTTGATGAATTGATTATAATTGCAACTACAAGAATTTTTTCCAGGAAGGAGGAAACCGTTCCTAAATTCCAACCCCTTCAAAGGCTTTCCGCGTTTAATTTTTCTTTTACCTAATAATTTTTTTTGGTTGTTTCATAGTTATTTTTTTCTTGTTGTAGTCTAATTACTCATGAATTTGCTTTCCTTTCCCTTTTTTATTGATAAATAATAAGAATTTTTTCAGTGAGATTCTTAATGAAATTTAGATAAGAGTTTTGTACAAATTATAATTCCTTGCTGTCAATTATTGGTTTTTAGGTTTTTTAACATATCATATTGTCATCCAAAAGAAGAAAAAAAAGCATTCCATGCACTAGAACGGCCTATATGATACTAGTTATTACTAGATTCCGCATGCGGTTTGTCTAATGTACGCTGAACCTTGTTACTATGTAGGTGGCAAGTGTTATTTTTTGCAAAATAAAATGTTAAATAGAGAAAACATCTCTAAGAAATACATTAATGAAACTAGTAACGCAACATGTAATTTGTCCGTGAACATGATGTTTATATATATATATATATAGACACACACACCTTTGAAAAACTCAATTGTTGGAATAAATATAATTGATGGAACTGTGAGATTCCTAGTTTTACTCTTAAACCCTCCCCTTTCCTCTTCCCTCTTGTAAGGTTTAAAGTCTCTCCTTGAACTAAAAAATAAATATAATTGCACCAAAAATTTAATATTCAATATTTAAATTTTTTATATTCCTTTTCTATACTTGGTCTACTGTCGTCAAAACAAATTAAGCACAAGCAGCAAGGCCTCTTTTGTCCCAAGAACACTATATTTTGTATCAATATCAATGTTTTTGTCTTTCCGTTAGATTTGGGTGACATACTTGAAAATTCACTTTTATGTCATTTAATTCACTTTTCAATTGATTTGTTGTTCTCCTTTATATCATTTTAATGAGTTTATTTAATTTTTTTCATTGTTGTTAATGATAGATTGTAAATGATCCATAATGCTATTTCACTTTTAACTCTGTTTCAATGAAATTCCATTAATTGAATTTTGAACGTTCCAAATAGCTTAGCTTTGAGGAGAAAATTTTTGACGTAGCGTCGCATATTTGTATTTTTCATACATCACATGTTCATATTTGTGGATCCCATATCACACGATATCAGAATTATTAAAGTGAACTTTTAGTTGGCGTTGCTGCCTGGGACGAGTCCCATCAGTACACTCTCCGGGCAGGTTCAGATACAACTTCCCGGTCTTTACTCCACAATGCATTAACTTCTGAAGACTTGTGTGGCCTCCAAAGCTACAGTGGATTGATATTTCTATAAATTAAAACATGGCCTCCTCCAAGAACACCACATACAAGTTAAAACCTCATTATCCCAAAACTAAGCAGCCATCCCAGTCCAAAGCTTCCCCAGATATGAAATTTGCTCAAGTTATACTTTTCATATTGATGGTGTCCTTAAAGCCAGCTATCACCCCGGCAGCAGCATACCCTTATTTACGCATAGCGAAGGATGGCTGCAGTGATACCTGCGGAAATATAAAGATCCCGTACCCATTTGGCATGACAAAAGATTGTTATCTGAAGTCCAACTTTTCAGTCACTTGTAACCATTCTTATAATCCTCCCAAATTATTTCTACAAGACTCACACGTTAACGTCACAAAAATATCCCTTGAAGGTCAATTGAACATTCTGAAGTTTGTAGCTCGCAAATGTCCTGATCAACCGGAATCTGATCATGAACCCTCTTTCCGATTTCCCGAATTCACAATCAATAGTACCGTTAACAAATTCACAGCAGTTGGCTGCGACACCTATGGTTTTCTCCAAAGCTTCCACTCTGTCAAGGGGACTGCTGTAGATCAAACTATTGGGTGCATCACCATGTGTTTCAACCCGTCTGCCGTGGTTAATGGTTCCTCGTCCGGCGGTGGATGCTGCCAGACATCAATCCCGCAAGGAATGACAAATTTCGAGTTGAAAGCGGAAAGTTATTACAGTCATAGATATGTTAAAGAGTTCAGTCCTTGTAGCTTTGCCTTTGTTGTTGAAGAAGGTAAGTTCAACTTTACTTTCGACAACCTTACCAATTTACGGGGGGTAGACAAACTTCCTATGGTACTTGACTGGGGGATTGGAGATGAAAATCAGACGTGTGAAACAGAAAGAAAGGACTCGACTACTTATGCTTGTCAGCAAAATACCTATTGTGTAAATGGAAAAGGTAATTACAGGGGATATCGTTGTTTCTGCAACGAGGGTTATGAAGGTAATCCTTACTTGCCAAATACTGGTTGCCAAGGTACGTGTTTCATTGCTACCCCCTTTTTTTTTGGGGCATATCATGATTGCTACTTCACTTTGGACAATCAAGTTTTGACGCATCATTGTCCATTTTACTTTGAGCTAGTTAACCTTTACATCGTGCCCCCCCCCCAAAAAAAACCAAAAAAACACACACACACCTACCTTTTCCCGGGAAAATTACATCAATATTTGCATACATTAAAAAAGATTTTGATTTTTTTCCTTTTTATAAAATTAAGATAACCCTTTTACTTTTTGACTTTGTGCCATGGAAAAAAGAATTTGGTTAGGGTTATTTGGAAAAAAAATTTATTGTTTACAAAACAAATTTTCTAATCAACTTTTTATATCATATACATCACATTAAAAAAATATTATACTAAATAATACTAAAAATTTTTTCCAATGAACTTTCAATCCAAACAAACATGGTCCGATTTACTTTTGAAAAATGATTTTTACTTTTTAAAGAAAATATTAAAAGAAGAAGGAAAACAAATCGGTGATAGATCCAACATGATTTTTTTTTGGGGGGCAACGTTATGCAGATATTGATGAATGTCAAAAAGAAGAGACCAATAATTGCAAATTCAAAAAACTTTGCAAAAACGTCGAAGGAGGCTACAATTGCTCTTGCCCGATGGGGTACCTTCAGAAAGATGATGGAAAAGGGAGTGAAGGTTGCATCCCTAAACCTAAGAAAAGTTATCAAGCACTTGTGGCTGGTATTCTTGAAGGTAATAGTTTGTCTTTTGTGTTACCAAAGTTCCCAAGTATTATACAGATAGGCACAAAGACCAAGCTTGGCCAAAACGCAAATTACCGTTCTCAGATCAGCTTAATTTGCATTTTGTTTATAAACACACATACACATACGATCAACACAAGCCCCACTATTCTAATTTTTTCCATTTCTTAAGGAATTATTGTTCAGAAAGCCAAGATTAATGGTTGAAATTCCAAGTAGGGATATTAACTAAGCTTGGCGATTTTATGCTCATATGATGAAAACACACACAGATTCACATGGGGTAGTCCAAGCTTTTATCCTCCTTCATTGAAGTGACATAAACATTAGTATTACTTGTGATGTAAAGTGATGTATGTAAAATATAAATATGATTGAAAATATAAAAAATGTCAAGAAACGTATTTATGATCTGTGTAAAATAATTTTTACAAAAAAATTGTATTTAGACAAGCCTATTGCTTATATATTGCTTCAATTTTTATCCTAAATAATAAATCAATATGTTGTGGTGACATGGAAAATGGGTAGTACATATGATCACAACCCACACATAGGTATCTTCATGTTTTTGGACAATTACATGAGGTAAGGATTATTGGGAGCAACCTGAAAAGGGCTAGAACCTAGAGTAGACCGAGTCAAAACTACCAAACTGAGTCAATGTCCAAAGCTCGACCACCTCTTAACCAGGGTTACTTTTGGCCTCGAATTCAGCCAACGCAAAGTCAACATATACCATGTCCATGATCCATCACATATGCAAACTAAAGAGAGTTAAGAGTATGTAGCACAAGACCAATTCGATGATTAGACACATTAATCAAGTGATGTTATCTTTTTAATTCGAATTCAAGTCTTTTCTTTTTTTTTTGCTCCCTTATTGTACGGTTTGAAGTCTCCATTAAAGTGAACAAGAAAAAAAAAAATCTAGAGTAGACATTTTTTCACATTGCCTCAGTTAAAAGTATCACATATAGAGAAGCGTTCTATTATTGCCGAAGCAATAAACCAGGGACAAACTCTAGCTTAAATCTTGTTGAGAAAAATAATCAACAATTTCACTGATATGAACTTGATAATAATCAGTTGTATTATACTTCGAAGTTGAATATTGCTTTACCCCTGCGCAGTTTAACATGTTCCTTCTCGTTCCTTCCTTTTCTGGGATTTTTCTTCCTATAAATATTGTTAAACAACACTGTCTTAGGTGTTGCTGTGGGCACTATGGTTCTGCTAATGGTCTGTTCTTGGTGCTTGTACGTGTCCAAGAAAAGAAAGATGATGTGGCTGAAGGAAAAATTCTTTCGAGAAAATGGAGGGCTACTCCTACAAAAGCGACTCAATGGACAAGAAGAATCCTCAAATGCCCCAAGAATTTTCAGTGGCAGAGATCTTGAGAAGGCAACAAACAACTTCCATGACGGTAACATTATTGGTCAAGGAGGTTTTGGGATAGTCTACAAAGGTCGTCTAATAGACAACAAAGAAGTTGCTATCAAGAAGTCAAAAACAGTTGATCCCAACCAAATTGAGCAATTCATCAATGAGGTTGTGATTCTGTCACAAATTAACCACAAAAATGTGGTTAAGCTCTTTGGTTGTTGTCTCGAGACAGAGGTACCTTTACTCGTTTATGAATTTATCAACAATGACACTCTTTTTAACCATTTACACAACAAGAAGCGGGCATGTGGAATTAGTTGGGACATCCGACTGAAAATAGGTGCAGAAACTGCAGAAGCCCTCTCATATTTGCACTCCGCTGCTTCACCTCCCATCATCCATAGGGACATAAAGACCACGAACATACTTCTGGACGAGGAATTTACAGCAAAAGTATCCGATTTCGGTGCTTCAAGATTGGGCCTTCTTGATCAAGATCAACTATCTACAGTGGTGCAAGGAACTCGAGGATATCTGGACCCTGAATTCTTCCAAACATTTCAGTTGACAGAGAAAAGTGATGTTTATAGCTTTGGAGTCGTTCTTGTGGAGCTACTAACAGGGAAAAAGCCCGTATGCTTCAATAGATCAGAGGGTGAGATAAGTTTAAGCAATCATTTCCTTTCTTCCATGAAAGAAAACCGACTGTTTCAAATTCTTGAAGATTCTGTCGCGTCTGATGAGAATATTGACCAATTGAGACAAGTTGCTGTGCTTGCCGAACGATGCCTAAATGTAAAAGGCGCCGACAGGCCTTCCATGAAAGAAGTAGCAATGGAACTGGTAGGGTTGCGAATCACATTAAAGCATACTTGGACTCAAGGTTCTCAAGCTTTAAACCAAGAAGAGATTGAGCCCCTGATTGATCATCAAGAACAATCCAATCCCTCCGGTGGCGGTGATATTATCTTGACAACTACATATTATAGCCTCCAAAATCACGAAATACAGCCAATTGCCCATGGGAGATGATCATTTGATTCTGCGGTCATGGGAAGGACTGGATTGCATTTTTACCGTCATCCTTACTTGTGTTTTTGATATTACTAGTGATTATGTTGTCACGATATGTTAACATCTTTTTAACGCTAAAGTTCGCAATTATATTTTGGGCAAATTTCACTTTACCCCCATTTGGTTTAGCGTTTTTTACATAACCCCCTATGGTTTCAAAAGGTATATATAACCCCCTCATGGTTTGGATTAAAGTATCAAAGTGATGGAAATGATCATTGGTAACGGAGTCACCTAAAATGTCAAAAATACCCTTACGTAAAGTTGAAAATTATTTATTAGCCAAGGGGGTTATATGGTAAAGTATTAAACCATAAGGGGGTTAGTGTGTCATGTATTTATAAGGGTAATTTCGATATTTTTAGAAGTTCCGTTATGAATGATTATTTCCGTCAGTTTGACACTTTAATCCAAACTATGAAGGGGTTATGTATAGCTTTTGAAACCATAGGGGGTTATGTAAAAAACGCTAAATCACAGGGGGTAAAATATAATTTGCCCTTATATTTTGATTGTCAACCCCACAACAACATAATAGTATGTTTTTAATTTTCTTTAACCAAGTTCTTTGAAAAAGGTATTGTGTACGATTAATCACCAAACTTTTCTGAAATCTTATCTTACTCCATTGAGCTATTTTGATGGATCCAAATTGATAATCACACATAAACCCACAGGAACAATCTCAAGAATTTGATATATGAGGTAAAGGAAAGAAATTTTTTTCTATTACTCAAAGAAGGCTGCGGCTACAGAAGAACGAAAAACACAGAGGCTATGCACAAAGACCAAAAACAAAAGGCAACTGCTACTTTGTACAATAGCTAGACACAAGACTTCTAATTCTACTATGACTAACATTATAGGATTTGATCCCATGTAGCCAACTTTAGACTTGCCAAGAAAACTAGCTAATAAACAAGTGACATGCGGTCAATAAATAAAACTAACCAATCAATCACAGTTTGGTTTATATTTCTACATTGACTCCCTTAAACCAAACTCCTCTAATTTGGACATGCCCAACAACTTCTTCAACTTGATAAAAATCTCCGTCTTCAATGTTTTGGTGAAAATGTCAGCCATTTGTTCTTCAGTTCTGCAATAATCAATTGCAATCTCTCTCTCTCAAACTAATTCACGTATGAAGTGATATTTGATGTCAATATGTTTGTTACGCCCATGAAGTATTGGACTCTTGAACAACTCAATTGTTGACTTACTATGATAATAAATTTTCGTAGGATCAACCAGCTTGTGCTGTAGAATACCAAGTACGTGACGTAACCACAAAACTTGAATAACACTGTTAGCTACTGCAATATACTCCGCTTTCACTGTAGACAATGCAATCACCTGTTGTTTTTTTGAACTCCAAAAAAACACTCCAGAACCAATAAAAAATACATAACCTAAAGTACTCTTCCTCTCCACTGCATCACCTCCCCAATCACTATCTGTGTAGCCAAACAACTCAATCAGATCATTTCCTAAATAAAAAAGCTATCACTGCAAGAACCTCCAATATATCTCAAAATCCTCTTAATTGCCTGCAAATGTGACTAACGTAAATTTTTTATGAACCTACAAATCAGACCAATAGCAAAATTGATATCTGGCCTTGTAAAAGTCAAATATTTCAAACTCCCTACCAAACTTTTAAAATATGTGTGATTCACATATCCACCAGCACCCTCCTTGGTCAATCTCAATTTTTCTTCAACTGGTCACCCTCCTTGGTCATAATTGGTTTTGTTGTATCCGTTTTGAACTTCTTTAAAATGCCACCTGCATATTTCTATTGAGATATAAAAATTCCACTATCAGATTGAAAGATTTCAATTCCCAGAAAATATGACATGAGTCCCATAACTATCATCTCAAATTGTTTAATCATGGCCACCTTGAATTCTGCAATCATCTCTGGAATATTTCTTATAAAAATTAAATCATCTATGTACAAGCACACAATAAGAATATCACCACGAGCATAAGATTTAATATATAACGTGTGCTCATATGGACACCTCTGAAAACCACGCTCTTGGGGCTTGTTTCAATCCATATAAGGCTCTCTTCAATCTATATACCTTATTTTCCAGATCTCTTCTGACAAATCCTGCTGGCTACTCCACATATACTTCTTCATTAAGAACTCCATTTAGGAAAGTTGACTTGACATCCATTTGATAAATTCTCCAGTTAGAGAAATTATCATACAGACTGTATCAAACCTAGCAACGGGTGCAAATATTTCAAAATAGTCAATCCTGGATTTCTACTTGTATCTTTTCACCACTAATCTTGCCTTGTATCTATCAATTTCTCCATTGGGTTTAAATTTTTTTCTTGTACACTCACTTCACTCCAATGACTTTTTTTACCAATTAAAAGGAAAGTAAGTTCCTAGGCGTCATGTTTCTCTATTGTATTAATTTCTTCCTCTATTGTTTTCACCCAATGATCATCAGTGGTTGCCTCCTCATACACAACTAGATCACAATCTACAAACAAAGCAAAATTAATAATATTTTCGTCAGAAGGAACATCATCTAGTGTAGTAACATAATCTTGTAGATGAATTGGCATCTGTCGCTGACATTGTGGACGTCTAGTTAACTCAGTCTATGGATCCTGATCAACTGGTGATAGCTGAACATCATCATTAGCATCCTCTTGCTGATAATTTAGAGTCACCTCTGCTGTCTTAGAATCTCCAGTTGACTATGTACGCGATAAAAATTTCAAGTCTGCAAAACGCCAAGAAAAATACATGACAAATATATGATATATAAATTTAGAAAAATATGTAGGTACAATCTCTGGGGTTTTCTCGAACTTGTGGAGAGTTTCCCTCGATTCTTCTCCTCGAACGCCAATCCAAGGGCTTCGCAGCTTGTTCTTGGATCCACCACCGATTCCTTCAAATCTTGATATAGAAGATTTGAAGAACTTTAGAAGATATTTGAAGACTCAAGTCTTGATATCTGGGAGACTTGGAGAGCTTGAAGAGCCGAACCTTTGTAGCTTGGAGCTTCAATGCTTTGAGCGTATATGATGCTCTTTTGATATCTCTGTGTCCCCTTAACTTGGTTGAGAGACCTCTATTTATAGTTGTAGCAAGAGGTAGAGGTTGAAGACCTGTGTACCACTTTACTTGCAAGACGTGCAGTCATATTAGGACTGTGCCAGTTAAATATTATCTCTTCATTTTATATTTATCAATAAAGAGATAAGTAATTTATCGATTGGCCAAACTTGTGGGGACACGTGACGTGGCACCGTTTTATTGGCCAAGCTACTGCAGTATATAAGAGGTAAACTTAGATTAAATAACTCTAAATATTATCCCTTTAATAAGAAATAAATACTTAGATATTTATCCAATAGGTATGTGATATGATATGATTTGGTTGGTGAAGATACCTCTGCGATTTGAATTGGTTTGGAACACCTCAACTTGACACGTGGAGGAATATAATTGGCTATTTAATAACCAAACTTTCCAAGTGTACATGCCATATGGCAATATCCGATTGGATAAAAATACTTTATAGACCAATGGTAATTTTTAGAATTTAATTAAAATTCCATTGTCTACAAATGCCCCCTCGAATCTTGTTTTCGAAGAGTAAAACTTGAACGGGCAAGTTTCGATTTTATAATCTCCCAATTTGTTTAAGCGAAGTACGTTGATTTTCTTCACTCGCCATTTAAGGAAACCGAACTCCATGCTCCATTAAGAACAATAATAATGATGGCCATCAATTTTAATTATAACCTTTTGTCCTTAAGAAAGCCCAATATATTCATATGAGAAACATTGCATATTGCTTGCTTAACCATTCACGTGCAAGGCATTTCAAAAGTGAAATCATAGGAATCAATTGACCTTCCATGCATCAATTGACCAATCTCGCACGGAAATCATCATAGGAATCCAATTGATCATAGAAGTCATAGGAACCACGGAACTCCACCGCTTCCAAACTTCGAGACCATTTCTTCTTGTCGGCCTTGGGAACTTATGCAGCAAATCACCAAGAATTCCTCTACTACGACTCTCGGGTTAACGGCTTCCCTTCCTTGTTAGCTTCAAAGTTCAAGCAATTTAGAAGTCCGAAAACCCAATTGCAAGTTCAATACAAATTGTGTTAACATTTGTTGAGATCTGCTCCAAAAATTTTTTTTAGCATTCGCGAGCAGGTTTTTTTTTTCTTTTAACTCGAATCGAATGTCATAAGGGCAAGCCCTCCAATTTTAAAAGATCAATTGTCTTTCTTTAGCCTCATATCCACCGTTTGAATATCAATCCAAGCAAAGTCCCTTTAGTGCCGTGGCTTTGCTCAAAGTTTTGCAACTCAAATGTCAACTCATGGACTTTATTCAAAGCCTTTGCAATGCCGTGGCTATTAAACCAATGACAAATTCATACGACATGGTGTTATCAAATGCCTTGTAGACCAATATAAACCAATGATACCTTAAAAGAGATGCTTTCACTAACATAAGGTGGTCATGCAAGGCATTATAAATTCCACCGCGATGCTATCAAATGCATGCAAAACTGGGCGAATTAGTGATCTCGATTTCCAAGACCCAAACGTGCAACTACCTCCAGTCCGCGGCCTTGGCTATAGATTTTTCCCTTTTACTTTCTGGAATTCGAACACCATGTGTTCAAGAATTCTCTCAAGCGCCAATCACCTCCGAATTGTACCTAGGGAGAAGTCTTTGACAGATTGCATCCAATCGGATCCTTGGTAAAATTTGCTGAATTAGACCCAACAACTCGAAGGCAGTCCCATATAAATTGCACCCTTATTTTGTTGAAACATAACCAAAGCCCACGACATAACAAGTCCTGCCTGCTCACTTGCCCAACTCCTCATTGGTTTAAAACTCTATGTTATCACAAATTCCGCTGATACCAACGCAATCCCAAATACTTTGGTAAACCAATTTCAGCTTCGGATGGCAAACATTATATCCATTCGGATTTGAAACTCATTAGAAGCCTACGTGCTATGCACACTCCAATCCCAATTGACCAATCCGGAAGGTCCCGAAGCCAGATTCATATTAGACCTCTAATCAACTTCAAACTCACCTTAAGGAT